CCCCCCCCCCCCCCCCCCCTTGATAAAAATTTAAGCTCACGGCATGACAGATTTTGATCCCCGAAGAGTTTTCCATTCGTTTTATAGGACGCGATGTTTGAGAGCGCTCGACCATGTCATGCCTCGAGGAAAGTATGCACAATACAGATGTGATGAAATTGAGCATCACCTAGAGTCCATGCTTCCTGAGCTTGAAAAAAGCCAAATGTGTTCCTCACACTTCCATTTCAAAAATTTGGAAGACCAGGGAGGTTCACTGAGTATGTTAAAAACAAACCAGGTCTGTCTTTTGTGTCATTTCCGAGCACCTGAACGTGTCTTGAGTTGCGGGCACTCGATTTGCGACATATGTGTCAGGCGTTTTGGTCGCGGGATTTCAGGTTATGAGGATCGGTATGCTCTTGAATGGTGTGCTTTTTGCCGGGGACCCGCAAAGTTAACAGTTGATCTTAAACCAAAGACGGCTGGGGTGCGTATAATTGCTATAGCTGGAGGTGGCTGCCGGGGGCGGGGGCCACTGGAGTTCCTCCGACTTTTACAGCAGCTCCTCGGTGGCTGTCCACTACACCAGATGTTTGATTTTTCCGCAGGGACAAGTTCTGGTTCGTGAGTCGCTCCCATTTGCTTGAAATTGATTCTGACTCAATCAGGGGGTCTATCCAATTTTTGTGTGTTTGCACTACATTGGGAAATGTCTCATTGTGATGAAATATTCGAAAATCTTGCTCAACGCTGCTTCGGTGGCACTCATCGCTCACCATGGGGTCGCGTGAAAGCTGGCCTCCGGTGGCTTTCATACGATGCGTTGTACGATGAGAAGGTCTTGGAAGAATGCCTACAGAAGGTGTTCGGCCTTACCAGGCGGCTATTTGATCACATAAATGACAGAGTATCAGGAACTCGAATTGCTGTCTCCGCAATGATGGATCGACATACGCCATCTATCATCACAAACTATAACGGTTGCGATAAAGGACAAAGGAAAGGTGCTTTATATCACGCCCAACCTTGATATCAATATCTGACTAAGATTCTAGACTACACGCTGATACGGCCAAAGAACATCGAGGATGAACTATTTATATGGGAAGCGTGAGTGGTCTAAGATTCAAGAATCTGAACTGTAATCATCTGAAGCTGACCAGATCACCAGCGGACGTGCCACATCTGCCGCGCCAGTGTAACGTCTACCCACCATGCTTCTTACGCTCACTCTCATTGACATTTGACCAGGTACTTCGCTCACGCAATCGGGAACTGGTGTTTTCGCTGATGGGGGTCTCTGGGTTCCCAATCCAATTGACATCGCACTCGAAGAAGCCGGTCGGTTGTGGCCAGAAAACCACCCTGAGGTTGTTCTTTGTCTAGGAACCGGCTATGCGACAGACAATGCGGCTAGTAATACACAACCCACACATGACCATCTTAAGGCAAGCTCACTAAAGCGCCTGTGGTGGACATTGATGGGATTCCTTGATGGAAAGATTCAGTTCAAGGACTCCGGAAATTTGAAGAATTTCTTCGTTATTAACCCCATCATGTCTAGCCTACCGAAGTTAGATGACATCACAGGGCTAGCCAGTTTGAAACACACCATTCGTCTCCAATTTCAGAAAGAACTAGCCCATATCGCCCGTTGCCTGCTGATCTCAAATTTTTATTTTGTGCTGGATCAACCACCACAATATGAAGCCGGGTTTTACCGCTGCCGGGGTTCGATTAGATGCCGAACAAACTGTCGTGCGGTTACCAAAGCACTTGCAAATCTGAATATATCTCAATTGCAGTATATTACCAGCACGGGGGTACAAATTGCATCAAAAATGGAAGGGGATATATGCAGCTCTTGCCATCGCTATCGAAGTGAAATAGGATTCAATGTGAGGCATCTAAATGAGATGATCACCCTGTCTGTAAGAACAGAGAGTGGTCAAAATTATACTATGAATGAATTTCCTCAAACAATGAAGTGGTTTGTGCAGCAGCAAGAACTAAATACTCCATTTGGTACTTCTGACCATGGTACCCCAGGCCGACTTGCTTGTCACTGTGAAAGTGGTGTATTACACCGGAAACGCAGACTGAATTCTCCTGTTTCATCATCAAAAAAAAGAGTGCGATTTCTATTGTCAGACAAGTAACTTATATATGACTTTAATACTAAGAAAATTAAAATCAAAAAATACTGTTCTTGCTCTTACCCCTGATTAGTAGTTTGAAAAGGGTCTGATATGTGGAGTCTGGGCGTACAGTTGAACGTGGTTAATTTTTCGGGCCGGAATAACCTTCGGCGTGGTTTTGACCATAAACCATGTCAACCCCCCCATTAAAACTACATACACTAGTCTTGTCTCATACATATCTCACACATCTTCAAATGCATCAGACACAGTGATTTTATCATATTTCTCAGAGCTCTATTTCTTAGATAACTAGGATTCTAACTCTAGATCACTAACTCTAACTCATAACTACTTTTCAGATGTTGAAAAGCTCTGAATATTGATGTATAACAACAGATTCATAATCTATGCTGAGGGTTTGTAAAGGATGTTTAGTGGGTGTAGATTTTAGTGAGGGAGTGAGGGCTGAGCATGGTTTATTTTTCAGACCCACTTTTTTTTGACCATGTTAAACCACATTCAACTGTAACCGCGGATTGGACTCCACTGAGTTACAGTTGAATGTGGTTTATAAAAAGTGGGTCTTGTAGATAAACCATGCTCAGTTTTTCACACTAGTAATAAACAACGGCATGGTTTAGAGCAGAACTCTTTTAAAAACCATGTTTAGTTCTACATACTGACTGAACATTGTAGATCCTACAGACGCTCCTGCGAAAAGTTTTGACTTGTGCTAAGAATTTAAGTTGAAATGTTGATACCGGCATTAAGTGTTGCTGTTGCATCTCTGAATGAAAAGGAGAGGGAGTCCCAGTGGGCTTATAGGCCAACACCCCTAGCTTATCCACTAGCTCACTCTCTAAATTCCAGGTGGTGTGGCCTGGAGATGCAATACACTAGTAAGATTATTTCAGGGTAAATTCTTAGTGCGAGACAAAACTTTTCGCAGCGGCTTCTGTGCTATGGTTGACACCTCTGCCTAAGTGTTCTGTTGATCATATGATCATCCTAGTCACATGATTCGAATTCACTTCTAGATAATAATGAAATACCATGCTCAACATTTTAACCACAGTGCTGATGGACACATTAACCACGCCGAAAGTTGGAACAGTCCAAAAAATTTACCATGTTTATGTTTGAATAAACCATGTTCAACTGTACGCCCGAGATTAGTAATTTCTTGATAAACTGACACTAATGCATGTTTGCATTTCTGCGTTCTCACAATATCGCTTTTTGCTTTTTGTGCTATTTTATTCATTTTCCAACTTTGCTCTTTCAAATTTCTGTATTAATATATATTTTGTCTACTTGTTTTTTCTTATAAATTGTCACATTTACCGGGCATTTTCTTTCAAAAACTGTGAACTCAAGCTAAATTTGCATCTCACTGGGAATCATTTTATGAGGTGATACAATCACCTTGAACTTGTGACTTCTTTATTATTTTTATTTTCATTAGCCAATATTTTCAAGCCATCTATCTAAGTCATGGGCTCTTCCCCCGTCCCTGGAACATATCTTCGAGAAAATGAAACCTCAGAATCTCCCCTCAAGGTGACAATACCAGCATCTAATGACGAAACTCCACTCCGAAGGTCTCCACGAAGGAAAAATTTCGACAAATCCTATATTATAGATTCTAAAGGAGGTGGATTTCTGTCTCGTTCTGTGGCAGACCAAAAACACAGTATAAGTACTAGACAAAAAACAACTACAACAGAACAGACAGTGGTAGATCAGATGCTACCAACACAAGAACAGAATGAAGTGCAATCATTGAAAGCTCTGAATTCACCACACTTACAAACAGTCAAATCAAATTCCCCAGACACCCAAGCAACGGAAGTCAAAGAATCAAATTCCTCATGCTTACAAATACCCAAAGGCACAAATTCCAAAGGAGATCAATCAGCGCAAAGATGCAAGGGAAAACAGAAGGCGGACTCAGTTCATGATGTTTCTCTGCTTCTTGCAGATTTTTTCGGTGCTGATCCTATGAAGAGCAGTCAGGCCCTCCGCTCCCTGGTAAATATAAAAGACGACTACAATGTGGATATTTACATGTTGACAATGACTCTTATAACATTGAACAACAGAGCCAAAACACTACAAAATCATATCGATGATGTCAACTTATGGATGGATACGCAAGATACAATAACTGAATTCAATAAGCTAGTGCAGGAGCAGGGCCACGACTACACTCTTTCTATTGAAGATTTCCAGCACACTTATGGCCTTACAATGCCTGATAGCTGCGGACAATTTTTTTCTGGACATTCTCCACCCAGTACACCTAGCCGCAACTCCATTTATCATGATTCTCCTGAATATTTTGATCACCAGGTGCCAACAGTCAATAAAGACGTTGTCGCATGGAGAAGGAAAGGGGAAAGTGACCAGGTATTTGTTATCTACGAATGTGATGGAAAGAAGACAGGACGGCTGGAGCAAGGACAAAATTACAACTACAACAAAAATGTCATACCAGAGATCACCACCATCAGAGGAAGAAGAAGACATCCACGCCAGTCAGACATGAGGCAAGTAGGTGTTGTAGCGCGAGCCACCGATGATTCTCATGATGACTACTGTGTACAAATCCAAATCGACTATCCTGGTTACGCTTACATTAAGTATGTATCCTCGATTGACCTCGACCAGTACATAAGAAAAAGCCAAAGCACACTCGACGTGGCAATTCACAAACTGTTCATCCGACAGGAAAATATCTTTGAAGAGGCTGCACAAGCACCACCTGACCAACATCAGTCACTAAATCAACAATTTCTCCCTACTTCCGATTCTCTTCGGGCCTTAGATTGGCCAAATATCGCCCAGCCTGAAACCAAATTCAATGTGATGGATCTACCTCAACATCAAACAGATACTACTCTCCCAGTGCAGCAGTTCCCTTCTAACTGGGGAAGGGGAATGCTAAAATCCTCGCACAATGATAAAACTCAACAAGATGCAACTACAACAAGGGTAATGCACCGTGTGATGGACAAGCGGAACCCATTATCAGGTACCTCAGCAAAAGTTCAAGTGAAGAGGGAAGAAGAGATAGATGGTTAATATTATGTCTTTCTTTTTTTTTTTTTCCAAATTTGTATTGATTTATATTGTTCCTGGGAAGTTTTTACTATCTGTTCTTTTTCAGTTCCTTCTTTTACATGCTGTGCAAGATTTTGAGGTAATCGCGAGAATGCTAAGTAGTTACCATAATGAATTCTATGTCTTTCTATGAGATTTGTCACTTCTCTGTTCAAGCAAGTAAAATTGTCAAATGTTGGCAGCTACATCCGCGCGCCAACAGGTTCCAGAAATCAACTAAGGAATGATTAGCTCAGACAATCCTCTCTTCCTTCCTTTATAGCAAGCCTGTCCTTCCCTCAATTGCTAGAGATTATCTTTGTTTATTATTGTTTTCTTTTATAATCAGGGGGGAGGAGGATTTCCTTTTTTTCTTTTTTTCTTTTCTAGAGAAGAGTAGTGATAACTAGATTGGAACAATTGAGAAGATCAATCTTTTTTTCTAACCATCAAGACTTTTACCCTATTGCCTACCTAGTCCTTAGTGTCAAATGGGTTTTTTCGATGTTTTCCACTGTAATTACTTAATTCCGCTTACAGACACTCATTGATAGAAATTTATACTAGAAAGCAATGCACCTTGAATTCTCTAAGTACATTTTAAAACAGTGAATTTATGTCATTGTAGATATCATCATCAATATATATATTGTGGTTTCCACACTATGGACTGGTGGTTGCAGTGTATAGATAATGGATTGAGTGGTCACATCTGCTGTGGGCCGGGCTACACCACCCACATCCATGGATATATATATATATATATATATATATCTAATCTAGTTATCATAGTGCTGGCTTATTATATCTATTAATGATGACAGCTATCAATGATATATAGTTATATATATACTCCTAGGTGTGGTGGTGTGGCCCAGCCCACAGCAGATGTGACCACTCAATCCATTATCTATACACTGCAACCATCAGCCACAGCATAGTGTGGAAACCATGATATCTAGCAATAATATCTAGTGATGATGATATCTAGAAATGATATCTAGTGATGTGGTTCTCACTATGCTTCAGCTGATAAAATAGAGAATGCTAGCTATCTATCTATCTATTTATATAATATTTAATTGATTGCTGATAAAATAGAGAATATTAGATATCTGTCTATCTGTCTATCTCTATGAGAATAAACATCATCATCTAGCTGCTCATCTATCTGACAATACTGGCTTATTAAATGACTATCTGACTGTCTATCTGTCTTATTATCTGCCTGCTTGAATGAATGATATCTACCAATGGTATATATTGATGATGATATCTAGTAATGATATCCAGCGAGGATATCTAGCAATGATATCTAGAACAGCCAGCTCTGTGATCTGTACAACCTGATATTCATATCATCACAAGATGGATATCAAAAACAGTTCCAGTTTGTTAGCAACACGGGAACGATTTGCTCTATACCTTATGTATGGGTGAGGATAGCAAACTACCACCTTAGAATCTAGAGAAATCAATGTTCTCGCGATGGTATCAATTTTTATTTTCATATTCCCATTTCCTAGATATGAAGTATCACCTCAAAGTCAACCCATTTTTTTTTAACACGTGAAGGATTTGCTATTTACTTGATTTCAACAAGAAATAAAGTGATCATTTTCAACAAGATACATCTATATTAAATATTGATTTTTTTAATATAAAAATTATATATTTATATTCTCCTTCTCTTTAGCTACAATCTAAGGTGGTTCACAAATCTCAAAGATATATGACTATTGTGTAATTGAAAGTCAAAGTTGAGAAATTTGAAGAATCTATGAAAATCTCAAAACCCTCTGGCGAGGATTGCTCTGAGCACATGACTTGTATCATGTGAGGTCATGTTACAGTGCATTTTGCACAGAAAAGTTAGTTTTTCTATAATAAAGAGAGAGAAGTGAGAGATGTTTCATTTTTTCTCCATAGAGTTTTGTATAGTTTGCACCAATTGAGATGTAATGTCGTTTCGATGGTCGATAACCGCATACTAAAGTGGTGTTGTCGGAACTGATTAAGTCCGAATATTGTCCCAATTACTGAATATCGATAGAATAATTGAATTGCTTATTATCACTCTGCTAATTACATGAAAAGTAGGCAGTATTTATAAGAAAGGTCATGCTTAGATGTACGCAGGAGATTCAGTGGAGCATTGCTTAGTTTCATATCATGAGACACTCCAAGTTCCAAGCTGCTACTAGAATCCTTGATAATAGAACTTACCAAGTTCAACAGGTGTTGAAAAGAAAACAAGCGCTGGTACGGCAAGGGAACCGGCTGTGGCCTAGTGCCACACTTGGTGGCATTAGCCACCATGTGTACGCTCAAGACGCAAATACAAAAGTACACTTCTCACTATCTGCACTTTTATCAAGATGTAATTTTAATCTTTGACAATATTATCTATATTCTCGTTGAAACGACTAAATATTCTAATATAAATTAGCATGCATCTCACCATTTCGTCTTCAAATTTATTCTCTTCTTAATCAGACATGGCAGACACTCTGGGATATGTTTCGGCTCCATCTTCACCACCTGGGGATTTTCAACCCCATCCACTCTGGGAAACCGTTCCCCAAACGTTAGATGTTCTTTTTTTCGGAGATGATGTCCAACAACGCAGTGGAGCTTTTATAGGTCTGCTCCATCTTAATGCAGACATTTGTCGGTACAATAAAAAGCATGGGCATGAGGAGAATTTCGGAATACTGGATCTGGATTTTTTTGATGATTGGAGTGAAAGATTCGAAGCTAATCCCTCTAGTTTTGAACTCATTTCTCAATATACTCACCAGCTATCAGAGCGTGGCTATCCAGAAAGTTGGGCGCCACTAGTTGAGGGTGTTGATGATTACCAATACCTCGATCAGCATAATGATGGCCAGAACTACAGTGGTGAGGACTTAGATGATTATGGCCCGCGTTATCGGAACAACAGCCAGGGCGGCGCAATGTGCAATCAGAATCAGCTTGTCAATAGCCGAGGCCATAGCGATGTGTCGGGACTGCCTAATGACCTTGTTGGCCAGTTTCAGGGGGTTAATATTGTCGATGACACTCTGGCAGAATATGGAATTCCACCAAGGGGAACAGTCTTGGCTTGGAATGAATCGGGCTCTACTGGGTATCAGGTGTTTGTTGCATATGAAGCTAATGGAGTTTATACAGCCCGGCTTGAGCCGGGGCGATTTCATTACTTTGATATAGACACAACTCCGTGTATTGTGAAGACTCAACGAGGCAAATTCCGAAGTCACCGGAGTGAGCCTTGGTACTTCAATCGCAGTCATATTAAAGATTTGGGCCTGTTAGCTGTATATGTCGATGAGCACACAACGGATCCGATTGGCTCACTTTCACCAGCCGCCAAACCCCGTTATTATCCTCGATGCTATTTGCAAGTGCTTTATACTGACAACCATGTTGGATATGAGCCAAGAGAGAAACTGGGCCAGCTTCTTGGACTGAATGAGATGCAACTGGCAATCTTCATATATGATCGTTTCAAAAAGCAGGAAGAGCGATATCAACAGGCCCTCGATGAGGCACGCGATGAGGATCCGCCATTACTAGGGGATAATACACATTGGAGAAACAGAGAACGAAGAGGACAGGCAAGATTGCAAATGGATCCATTTGCAGCTCCAAGTCCGCTGGAATACCCGCGACGCCGACCGCCGGCTTATCAAAACCAGGATGACGATGATTATCACCTTCCTCCCCTTCGCGATAGAATCACAACGTTATCTCCTGAGCCAGATGCAAGTTATCAATTTCAACATGGTCGGATGACAAGAAATCGTCGTTTACCAGCTCAACAGCATCAGGAATTTTCCCCACTAGTCCAGCAGCACCAGAGATCAGATCAGATGAGAAGTACAAGTCTGCCATTGCCATTCCAACAGCAAACACCAGGCCAGACAAGAAATAGAACTCTGCCCCAGCCAGTGCAGCACCAGAGACAGAGACAGAGACGCAGCTGCATGACAAGAGATATCTCTCTCCCAACTTACCAGGATGAGGAAGTACCTCTGTCAGTACAGAGCCAGCGGCCGCCGGGTCGCACAAGAAATATAAGTCTGCCAACTCAGCAGCGTCAGAGATCAGATCAGACAAGAAGCACAAGTCTGCCAAGGCCATTCCAACAGCAAAGACAGAATCAGACAAGAAATGGAACTCTGCCCCAACCGGTCCAGCAGCGTCAAACAAGAACCATCAATCATCCCCAGCCTCCCCAGCAACGCCGAGGAATGTTAGGCCAGACCAGAATGCTCCCTCTATCACTCCCAAAGGCGATAAAGCAGCCTCCAAGCACATTAAATCAGACAGGAAATACTCCTGCACGAGTTCAATTGCGCATGGAAACTCCAGTTCTTCCATCAGCCCAGCAAGGACGGCGTCATCAGCCAATGAAAGAGAATTCCTCAATGCCGAAGCTCACACCTCAACAAAGCAACTCACGAAGTCGGCTTCAAATTCAGAAACCTCAGAATGCAAGTTCTTCCCCAGCACCACCTCATGTTCAAATTGAAACTGTTGAAGAGGAGGATGAATCAAACTTGCCAACCTCACAAAATCCTCAGACGCAGCCAATCTCACCATCTCCTCAAGCACAGAAAGAATCATCATCATCTTTAAATTTAATTGATCAGCTTCGACAATGTACTCCTGAAGAGGAGCAGATATTTTTGAGTTGATCTCTGAGTTGACTTTTTCATCACATATTTCTGCAAGTTCCATCTCTAATGTATTCCCCTGTTTTCCTAGTAATTACTTATTATTTCTGATTCCACAAGGGAACTGGTTTCCGTGGGACTATCCTCATGAGTCACATCTTTCATTAGGTAGTTTAGCTAGTTATCATTAATACAAGTTTATCCTCCATGAAATGCCCAGTGAAATAATTTTCTTGCTGCGCTTATCTCGGAAAATTTCAATACCCCGGTGACGTATGCCAAGGCCTCCGGGGACCTGTTCTTTATTACTGCCAAGCCTTGAACATTTACAACCAACAAAAGTCCAACAGATACTGACACGATTTCAAACACGCAGTGTGCTAAACAACTTCATTCAACAATTTCACAGCATTCTAACTCTTCATATGGTTTCCATTCTTTTTAACTCTAACATGGTTTCAATTAACTGAGTATGAGCCTCATTAAGCAAAGATAAAATTTGACTGTGCTCTTCAAGGGCATTAAGCAGATCATGAAGTCTTTTCAAGCTTTCAAGGCCTTTTTGAAGTTCGCTAATCGACTCTTCGAGGACGCTATCGATGGCATGGTTGTGATCTTTATCCTTGTGACCTGTGGAGGTACCGGCATCAGCAATCTATCATTTCAGGTCAGCATATTTTCCATAAAAAGAGTAGTAAATCACTTGCCACTTTGAACTCGCGCTCCATCTTGAAAATGTGGCTTTGACTTAAGTAAGATATTCTATTTCTTCTCTTCTGCAACTTGAACTTCTATGATGAAGATTGTGCATTATATATAAATCGCTGAATATCCCCAACTCAGTCACGTAGAAGAGGCAAGGTTAAATTAAGCGCTGGTCAACAATTATTAAACCCGAAAGAAAAAAAAGAAAAAATAACAATTTAATTAACAAGATAAGCCTTTGTGGTTACATTTTCCATTCAATATGCATTAGTGGGATTTCATGTCGCTGATTCCTTAACAGTGGCAAGGATAGTTAAGCGCTGATCCAACAGTTCTTAGACTGAAAATGGAAATAACAGGGATAGAAACCGCGAAGACTAACAGCACTTAAACTCCAAAAGGAAATAACAAGGATAAAGACCGCAAAGATCCAGACTCGTTAGACATCAGTGATTTTGGTGTATTTTCAGCATCGTTGACCCCACGTTCTCCAAGAATGGTTGCAATCTCCCAATGTAATTGGTCAAATCGTTGATCTTCCTAGAATATTTATTAGATTGATGCCTGTATTTCTGTAAGTAGAGAGCCTATTACCGATCTTTGGCCTGTAGTCTGATGTTGTTAGTGTCTACCAGCATGGATTATGAGAGTCAAAAGAACTTACTCCTGTTCCAGATTATGTATTCGCCGGCGCAATTCATCAACAATTATAAAGAGCTTATCCAATGATGTGTTGTCGTCATCATCTGAGGTTAATTCTGGCACCTCTGACGAGTGTGCTGTGTTCTGAAAAGAAGAGATTTCTCCGGGCAGATCTCCCAGATCCACTATCCCACCATCAAAAAGGGAGGAGAAGTCAGGGTCACTGTAGTCGAATCCATGGTCAAGTATAGTAGGTTCTGGAAGGGAGATCTGGAGATCGTTGTTTGTGTCATACTGATTGAACAGAATGTCAAGAGTGTCGAGACTCGCGCTGCGTTGTCTTTGAGTGTTATCCATGATGGCATTGATGGAATTTGTAGGAATAGATACCAGGGTCGAAATAAGGACTTGAGTAGATTTATAGCTTTCGCCAGCGCTTTGTTTTACCCCCCTTCGGAATTTTGTTTCCGTAAAGGGGGATACCCTTGTCAGTGAATTTCATGGCACCCGACGAATCAGTGGAATCTCTGCCTCCACACCATGGTGTCACCCTCACAGTCAGCCTCCCACCCTCCTCAAGGGTGCAGACGAAACGCCGCTCACCATCAACCACTTGCCTGGCCAAGTTAACCTCCCACCTCAAGGGTGCAGACGAAACGCCGCTCACCATCAACCACTTGCCTGGCCAAGTTAACCTCCCACCTCAAGGGTGCAGACGAAACGCCGCTCACCATCAACCACTTGCCTGGCCAAGTTAACCTCCCACCTCAAGGGTGCAGACGAAACGCCGCTCACCATCAACCACTTGCCTGGCCAAGTTAACCTCCCACCTCAAGGGTGCAGACGAAACGCCGCTCACCATCAACCACTTGCCTGGCCAAGTTAACCTCCCACCTCAAGGGTGCAGACGAAACGCCGCTCACCATCAACCACTTGCCTGGCCAAGTTAACCTCCCACCTCAAGGGTAGAAGGAAACGCCCCTCACTGTCAGCCAACATGTCAAAGCCATCAGGACGTGGTAAAGAGTATCTTGACTGGGAGAGAAAGTTGATCAGAGACTTGAGACATTCTGGATACACGTGGGAATTAGTGACCAAGAGCTACAATGAAACAGTGGCTCCGGATCGTCAGCGAGACGAAACAGCTCTTAGAACTCAGTACAAACTCATTCAGAAGAACAAGGTCAGAGCCTTCTGCAGTTTTGTATTCCAATCACAATGCTCAACTTTTAATAGACTCAAAAGACAGCAGGTCCTGAAATATTGGACCGTAGCCCGGCAGTGAGAACATATACCTCCTATTCAATTTGAAATGTTTCTAATCGGGTAGGTTCAAAATGCGGGTCTCGGAATATCGTTTCAGCAATATGAACAGCCAATCGAGACGAATCACGGTCATCAAACGCCAGCATCAACATATCCCCTATTCCCGCCAAACCAGAAAGTCGAATATCCGGGCGGTAAATGGCCATCTGAGTTGGCACATTTGAATGCGCCTATTGAATTTGATTTTAATTTTCCTGGCAGATGTTAAATATAGCTGTGCTGCATGCGTATATAATGAACCAACATACCTTTTCAAATTCCACAGCTCGCAACTTTCCTACCCAAGTTTTAGTTCAAAGGCTCTCAGATCTTTCTTCAACAGACCTCTCTGATTCTCGGCTTAGCTTCTCCCAACATGCCTGTGAGTTAGAAATGTTTCAAAAGCTTAAAGAACCAATAACTGACTGTTATATAGCTTGACAACCACCCGATTTCCATCAATCTTGCCTTTATCCAAGACGTTCTTTCCAAACAAGAAATGGATGCCAGTCAGATCGCTGATCTTGAGCAGGCATTAAAACAGGCTGAGGCATCCAATCTCCAGGAGCGATCAGCTAATGCTCAACTGCTGGAGAGGTCTCATCGTCTTCAGAGAGATCTTGCTGAGGTGACAATTGCCAAGGAAACACTGGAAAACCAACTTGCCGAAGTCAACCGATCTTTCAATTATCGACATCATCAGTACGAAACAACCATTTCACAGTTAAAGAGCGAAATCAAAGCCCACCGCTCAACCATCGACAACCTCGAGGGTGTAATTATATCTCTGAAGGACGATATTGAAGTACATGTTTCAACAATTCAATTTTTGGAAGGCATCGCTGCCGATATGGATGGAGAGGAGCCAGCTTGAAGATGTATAATAGTGTGGTCTGATCATGTATTCAAAGAATATTGTCAGGGAACATGTAGTCAGTGTTGCTTTTTGCATTTCCGGAAGAAAAGACGGGCCGAAAGGACCTATCAAGGTCACTTTGTAACTACATGAACACTCTGCCGAAATTTGTATGAGTGACTTACATGTGTTTGTTATGTTTGTTTTAAGTCACTCTTGTTACAAATTTTGGTAGGGTGTAATGTAATCCAACCGCTCAGTGCCCACTTCCACTCAAGTCCATCTTTTTCCATATGCCTGAATTACACTCTGTTTTTCCGCGCTTGTTGTCATGATTTAGCACTTTTCTGTTCAGCCCAGATTATATTCAAAGTGGATAAAATTATATTGATGATTACAGTTAGAAATATCTAGTGTGATTATCATGAAATATGCAATCACAGTTGATATTTATGAAACAAATTTCTTCAATTGTCTTTCTTGAAAAACTAGAAAAAGAGTAATAACAGTTATCAGCTGGCAGACTTCAAGGGTGCTTAATTGTTCTAAGTTTAATTTACCTGTCATTCGGCGGCTATCGGAAATCGCCGAGTTTCACTTAGCTGCTTCTACACTTTTTCATTTGTATAACTATGTAAATTTGAAATCAGAGCTTTCAAACATAAATAGATAGTAAATATATATATGTGCGTGTGTGTGTAAGACAGCTGAGGAGGTAAGTCTTCATTGTCAGATGCCCTCTGGGATGTTTCTATTCGTATCCTCTACAGTCGCTAGTTTGACTTTCTCAAACTTTTGATCTTCTTCTATCTTTCATTATGGTGATGTTATTCTTTCTGTCTATGTGTTTAGTGTCGCTATGTGCTGCATCCAGTTCCGCGCTCACAACCATTCCACCTCTCATTCCATCAACTGGGGCAATGATTTATGTTACGCAGTACAAGACTGTTACTTTTGAATCAAGCCACTTGATTTCCAGTCAGTTGGTGCCACACAGAGCTTGAAAGATCGTCTCACTAACATCTGGTGACAATGCAGGCGGCCCGTACCTGAAATCTGGCATGGTACAAGCAACTGGTGGTTCAGGAATATTGGCTGCTTCCACGGGATCACCTGCAAGAGCTACTGGGTGGAATAAAACCAGCAGTCTTCCGCAAAGCTCCCGGATTCCATCCGCACCTAGCACACTGCCGTCTTTGGGTCTTGCACCGAGTGTGTTTCCATTTCCTGGCAAAGCATTTCACTTAGCACCTTCAATTTTTCTCATGGCTTGTATGTTTGTCTTTGTGCAAATGTGGATATGCCATGGCCTGGATGTGTAGCAAACAACTCGGGAAGCAGGCAATGATGGATCAGGGTACCATCACAAAGGGTCGGGGTGATGAATTAGTTAGTATGCTGCTTGATGGGTTTTAAAGAGTGGCAGAAACAAAGAGTATTTGAATGAAAAAGAAGTAGTTCTTTGCATGCTCACTATGTTGAAGCACGAGAATTCTTTATGATTAGAAAAAATCGGTTGACTCTGAAGAGAGCTATCTCAGGTGGCACCGGGCCGGGGATGTCAGGGTCGCCTCTAATCAACCATATCCACCTCGGCCGGTGGAGTTTTACCCTGACCTGCCTGGGCCACCTTGTTAAGCCTTGGTTGTGTCTCGGTTGTCTTTGGTCACCTACAATCTATTTGGCACCAAAACTAAGCAGTGTCATGGATTGAGGGAATCGCTATCTTTGGGCATGCTTAGGCAGGAAGGCGGAGTTGAAAAAAAGGGCCAAGATGAACAAATTAGTGTAGAGAACAAAGTGAAAAGGGCGGCCTAGAGAGCAAGTAGTCAAGATTCTTTCAAAACATAATGCTGGCCCTAGGCTGCCTATTACGGACTAGTTAGCATTCCACACGTATATGCCCCTCCCAGTAATCCAAACAAAACTCATCATTCCGGCTTTCTGGGCATGTTCCCTCCCCCTCTTGAGCTAGATAGGGAAGCAACTGTATGTAACTTTGAAGAAACTCGACAGAGTGTTGCAACGTTGAAGTAATCGTGCAGAAGCGGCGCAGAAATATTATTTTGCGGCACAGTCACACATCCATGCTGAAGGAAAAATCTCAGTGGTGACATCAAAGCTAGCCCCGCAGCAGCAGCAACTCGTCGCCCTGGGGTTGCCAACCACTTCAAACCGCTTCCAATAAGCTCCATCGTATCATGGCCTCCACCACTCGACACGGCGACACGGAGATGGATGGGCACAGGGAACTTTCGAGGTGGTTGGCCGCTCGGTCGAGGTCGGTGATTTCCCGTAGGTGATTTAGATGCATTAGTGAGAGAGAAATGGACATTTCTAGGCAAACATCTAGCAAAAAAAAAAAAAAAAAAGAAGAGTGAGACAAAATGAAGACTGCTGCAGCTCGGGGCCATTGAGGCTCCTCGGCAGAGAGGGGACAGCGGGCGGGAGAAAAGGGAGGCAAGATTACGGAGTAGACAAGGTGCGATGGCCAAGTTGGTTAGGGGGGAAGAAAGGAGGTGGGCCAATGAGCTCACAACAGCGGCCGCAAGAGTGATCGCTGGTGTGACATTCACACAGCTGCCTGGAACTTTGCAGGGGGGTTTCCATGTAGAAACATAGAAAAATGTGGGAGTGAGTAGTTATGGATTAGCGCCCCGCATAGTGTATAGATCTGTAAATAACCCTGTAGATAGCAACCAATACAACCACTCAGCCATCCAACAAAAAACAATCCCCACCCAGAGGATGACTATTCAGTGATGAAAGTTGAGTGTGGTTCAATTTGAACAGGGTGCACTGAAAGTTTTTGCGGCCGAAATTTCGAACCACACTCAGCTTTTGAATCACATTCAAGGTTCAGACGACGCATCAATTCCACTTCAAGCCAACTCGATGACGAATTCAAAGGAGGAGGAGAAGCAAAAAGCGACAAAAAAGAAACAAATGTTGGTGGTTGAGACCAATATTTGCAATCTCGCTCAGAAAATTGCAGCAACTCGACCCAAAACAGAAAACACAACCACGCAACTAAAACTTCGAATTTCGCAATAAAAATCACATGGGAAGATACAACGTACTTTGGTCAATATATTGATGTATTATTTTTGAATAAAAAATTGTTAATGGTGATGGTGATATTTTCGATACGTTTTTTGGTGTGGAAGGTAAAGGGGTTCAGAGGTTGTACCATGATTGGACCGCAACAACACCGGAACTGGAAGAACCTTCTCCCGGAACAACTTCGGGATTAACCTTGACAATTAATCCAGTCTGGCCCTGCGAATTTCAACAGCAACTACAGAGTACGCAACACCTACTACAAACTTCGCAAGTTACAATAAGAAGCCCTGAGGACCAGGCCTTTGAAGTAATAGAAGTAACGGAAGTATTTCTATCTATAAGTGTGTTGGAAATAGATATCGGAATATTCAAAAACTGAATACCGGTAGATAATTGAATTGCTTATTCTGACTCCGATAATTACATGAGAACTTCGCAAGGTACCAACAAAGGAAGGACAGAAGTCGAATCATGAGAAAGATAGAAAAAGAGAAGAAAGAAAAGGAAACAAATATGCTCAATGACCTTGAATTTAGAAAGCCCAAAAAGGGAAAGACAAAATACTCAGTTTCTTTCTTTTTTAAACTGTGAGGATGATCATTGTAGCGAGGTTTTTATGATCAATGAATTTAGTTGAACTGTTCAAAACAGACTTTCTTTCCTCCAGCTCATTGCGCAGCTCTAAAACCATTTTCTCGATTGGAATTTTTTTCTTCCGGGACAGATTTAACTTGGTTCGAATCAGTTGGGTGAAGCTGGCAGATTCATCTTCAAAAACCCCCAGTCCTTCTTGCCTTTTATGGAAAATAGGGCGATGAGTCTTCACCTGAAAACCACACTCAGCCACCGCCTCCTTTGCCTGTGCAAGACAGATTTCCCAGAGATAATCTGGCGCAATCTTCACATGTTTCTTTGTAGCCCGGCATCTAGCCACCATGCCGTTGGGTAAAGTGGTCACACCACTATCATCACTCTCGGTGTACATGGCGGGGCACTCAATGCCATCAATCAACAGCACCCAATTCAGAACCAATCGACCACCTGGAGCCAGAGATTGACGCCACAGATTCAAGGCATCTTTTCGTTTGTTCAGTGGTAAAAGCTCAAATGTCCAGAAGGCTGTGATGATATCAAAACCACCAATATCTTTTGGTAGCCACTGCTTTGCAGCCATGAGCACCTCACTGCATGTGATATCTCCACAGGCAAGATGTATCACTTTCTTAGATCCTTGATTCTCAACTGCACGCTGTTCAGATTTTTTGTTGTTCAGAGGTATGAAACCTGCTGCTGTGATGTTGTATTTGGCATCAATCTCTAGAAGCTGTTCCGCCACATCAATTCCTCCACAAGTTCCATCTTCAATGTGTTTCTTCATCTCTATCAAAAGCCGACCAGATCCTGTACCGAGATCCAAACAATTCTCATTAAGCTGTGGAGCAGCGAATTTGGCGAATATAGAGATGTCGGATTGGTGGTCATGATACACAGCGTCGAATTTTGTTGCCAATCCGTTATACATGTTGATAACCTCCTGAATATTTTGATATCGCCCCATTTCTATTTCCTATTAGCACTGATTGATCAACATCAGTTACTGAGAGAACATACTGTGTTGCTGACGATAACTGGTTAAATAACTAAAGATTAATTCTGGCAGAGATGTGAGTGTATCAAGATGAGGGATTAGATGTTCTTGATAGATGATTGGAAGCGTTGGAGTGGAAAGAAATGAGAGAAGAGATCAATATTTCGGAAGGTGAGTATCGCTTTAAGTATCTCTCTCGACATTCAATGAGTTTCTTTTATTGAGTGGATTTCATTCCTCACAGAGCTTCATTCATCGGTGGAGTTCCCAAAGGAGTTGGTTTCGCTACTGAGTGAATTCCAATCTCAAAGGGCTTTCAAAGTTGAGAATAGCTCATTTTGATAAGTTCCATTCACTGAAAGAACTCGATTGCATAAATATAGTGCGCGTGTTGAAGATATCTTCTTCTGAAAGCAACAAGTGGAATGGTTGACCTTTGTCACTAGTTCTCAATCAGGATGTATTCAAACAGATCGGGGAAAGGATATTTTTCCATTGCAAAGCAAGCGTAAAAGGAAAGAGCAGCTTTCTTGAAAATCAATTTTATTAATAGTAGGGGCTTTATTGCTATCCAAATTGGAGGTGTCAGAGCTTGATAATGTCCGAATATCTGCTGTTACGGAGGATCCAAGTCTTTGTTACCTAGCATCTTTTCACTGCAGAAAATAGTTATAAAGATGCTTTGAAAACTCCAACCTAAGCAAAGAGCATAAAGAAATGAGTGGCAATACACTGCTCGGAGACGTTGAGAAGGGCACAGAATCAAGGTGACAGATTTAGCAAAAATAAAAACAAAAGAAGATTTCAAATCAAGTAACTTTCTTAATGTAATGTTAATATTAGCTCTATTAATAGCTGTATAATGAAGTCAGTTAATGATTATTGTGTAATCTTTTGACATTGTCAGAAAGATTCATTGAATCTGAATTGTACAGAATGTTGTGGTATATTCACTCAAGTTTCTAGCCAGCCATATAAATATAGTAGTTGCTTGTTACATAGCTGTTCAATATAATATCACTGCAGAATAACCTTGTCTATTTTCAAGAAATATCAGCTAATATCATTCAAAAATGTTCAAGCTAGACTGGCAGAATTACATGTCGAAGTAATCCCGGTCTAAATGCAAATATACCATGGATTATTGGTGTCTGGAATGCTTCAAACAGATTGAAAAACTAGAGCTTATTCAGTTAAATGCCTTGAAGGAAAAGTGAGGAGGGAGTTCAGAGAAACGAATGTCAAGTGGTATGTGTTCATATTCTATAAAAAGAATATGCTGATTGTGCAAATGGAATCCTGGCATGGCTAAGAGATATTCTGTATAATAACAAGTCAACCACCATTATCTATACAACATTGGCCAATATGAGCGCCATAATCAGCTATGACATTGCAATGCATGGTAGAACAAGGTCTGAAGCTACATCCATTCCACAAACAGTCCTCAAATTGAAGAAAATAGGCAGACAAATACGCAATGGAGTTTGTTAAAGAGCAGGAAACTCTCTATCAAACACAGAAACATGAAGCTCAAGAGAAAAATCAACAGGATTTTGTGGAGACAAAGTGGTATTTGGTGGAGTGATAGAATCGGATGGTGATCAAGACTTCAAATCCTCAAATAAGAAGAGAAAGTTTGAGGATATGAACTGAGGCAGAAATGATTGTGAAAAGAAATTGCTGTTAAATCTTATGCAATAAGGGTTTTTATTCCTTTAGTATAGGGAGAGAAAATTGTAGCAAAAGGAAATTGAGATGTACCTGTACTTGTACTAGAGGGCATTGCAAGCGGCCAGCATCTCCATAATCCCCTCCCACGCGGCTGTAAAATCAGAAAGGGGCCGCCTCCTTTTCCTGTCCACCTCCTTCTAGAACATCGCTGCCGCTTTCCAATCAGCTACAGGTCTTGAGGGTTGGAGATTTAGTGTATTTCTGGAAAGATGATATGGATTGCTTCCCCAGCAGCGCTTCTTTCGCAGCATACAGAATCATGATCTGTCAATTCCCAAATGCATGTTGCCTGCACTGGTCAGCCTTGTCGTTGAGCCAGTAGAGCTCAGGGAGATGTTTTCCCGAGTCAGAGCTCCCGCTGCTGGGTCCTCTCGGCCATGATTGCTCCTTGATCAATACTATTGTTGTTTTCTGCGTTAATATGTCAGCTACAACCAGTTATTAATAGAATGATGGAGATGGAGATGGAGATGGAGATGGCGATGGCGATGGCGGTTATGATTTGTGAGCTAGGGAGCCCAGATAGCAACGCCAGCAGAAGAGTTCGCTAATAGGATTCTATAGATTTAACATTGAAATTGTGTATTTCTTTTTATTTTGATTTCTCCCTTATGGAGCAGTGTTATAATCTAATTTTAGTTGTCAAATTCCATATGAAACTTAACCTACGCGATGATCTCCTTTTCAACCACTGCTCATCCGTTCTAGCAAAAACTCTTGGAGCAAATGTTGCTGCTCCCCCATATCTCATCCATTACTAAGATCACAAACGGATCAGGTTGCAAAATCATCACTTCCATCCCACCGATTCACTTCCGGTCCAATTCAAAGGTGTATAATTGCGGTCTCATAGTCCATGTCAATTCTAGTTCCCACTAATACATCATCTCCACTCACTCCGCGAACATGATCGCTAGGTCAACCTTGCTTTCTAATTCAATGGCACAGCGAAGTTGTGCAAACAGTTCAGTGTGTCCTTCTCCTCTTCCTTGTCACTGTCATCATCGTAATCAACATAATCTTCTTCTTGATCGATTATTTGATGCCCAATGTTGTAATTTTTTGCCTCCACTATTGCCATCCCCTCCATTTGCTTCTCCGCCACCACGACATCCATTTCACCTGCTTCATTATCCTCTATCATCACCTCTACCACTTCGTCCTTGTCATCCTTGATGACCATCACCTCTTGCCTGTGGTCGTTGTAAACCTCGACATCAGTGTCCTCATTGATTACAATAACCTTGTGCTTCTTTGTGGGTTTCTCGGACATCATTGGTGGTGTTGCAATGGTGGAAATAGAGGATAGGCACAATGATATAAAGACTTGTGAGCAACATATCCAAATCTAGGGCCTATTGATTCAAGTTGTTGCATAGCGAAAATCTGAATATCTTTTAACATGGTAATCAGGAGCGTGTCGGGACGATGCCGTAATAATATTTCTGTTTCCATAGGGCTGACATAAAAAAGAAGCCAATACTTGGGGAGGTTAAAAGTTATGTCTTCTGTGTAGATCTGCAAACAGCTGTAGAAGCCAATGTTTTTAAAAACCATCTGCAGCTTCTTCCAAGTTCACAATGCCAAGTAATGATTGGATGTGGAGATCGCCCTCAATATACTACTGGCCACGGACAAATTAATATCGACTAAGCCAGGATGCAGCCACCAGTGTCCGTATCCTAATATTATTCAGTAACTGGTTCAGGTTCTTCAAGACGTGGGGATTGACATTTCCATCAGAATTTGGGTTAAATAAGGATCGTTGATGTAGATATATGCCCAGCTCCATTGAGGCTAGCTCAATGATCCGACGACATTCCTTGTATTCATCGGAAAGAGATGTCAAGTTCACAAATACCCAACTTTTAAACATCATGACATTTTGTATTGACCGTGGTGACAGGGAGGCCATTTTCGAAATCCTCAATTTCGGGTTCAAATATGCGACTAAAAATTTCGGCTTCTTCCTTCTTTTTAAGAGCATAAAATTGTCTAAGAACAACACTGCTTGTTGCTGATATCTTATGTCTTGGGATGTCAATCCTTCCAAAATCTAGGAAAGATGGGTATTCCTCAACGCTATCCGTATCTATCTTGGAGAGGGATTGAGGCGACTTCTCCACGAAGACAAAGAGAATAGTAGTAGATATGGCGGAAAATTTGAGGAGGCAATGAGGAAGATTGCAACTGTTCAAAAATCAACATAGAAGCTCAAGAGGTTGAAGGGTTGAGTAAAATGCGGAAAGCTTAAGTGGCTGTTGAATCTTGGCCTTGAAAACCTTGATGAGACTAGAAGAACACAATCCACAAGACAACACGACAACAACATGAGTGTGTTGGTGTGGTGTATCATAGTGATGGCATCTGGGCCTGGGGGTGACCTGGCACCGTAAGGGTTTTCGCATTGGGTCTCGTATATCAATGAACATTGTATAGGGAGGAAGACAGTGCAAGAATTAGTGATCAAGCACTTGAGCTGTTTGATAGCTTCTGGCTTCCCAAAGAAGATCCTCAACCAGAGAATATAACAACGGTTATCACCTCAACTAGAGGTTGTTGACAATGGAGACTATCTCAACTAGAGGCTCTAGCTGTTCTTCTACATTTGCTGGCTCCGCGGTGGAGGCTTTTCGTAGATTATTATCTGACATCTTGGTGTCCTCAACTAAGTCTTCATATTCGATATTTGAGTTGTTTGATTCATCCATTGTGTCTATCTTGAATGCCCCAAGGGCAACAGGTTTTTGGTTGTCGCCTTGGTGTACCTCTGGCGTTTCTGGATTCCTTTCATGCAGTGTGTATTCCTTCGTCAGATCAGGCGTTCCACCCGATCTCAAGTTAACCATGAGGTTCAAATCAACAAGGCATCTAGGCACCCTTTTGATGATGCTAGGGTGGCACGTGTCTGGGTTACCTATTATGGACAAATACACCGCACAACTATCTGTTGGGGGGTTTGGATTGGTTCGTCCCCTCTACCAGCATAACACTGGTGTGAGCTGGAAGAAAGACGGAGAGTGGGTTACTTGAAGTTGTGTCAGATTTGAAGGGCGCCGATGGTATAATAATACCAGTTATGATTCCAAGGAATCATGACTACATTCCCTTGCTCGTCCGTTCCAACCCCGCCCACGTACTCATCGGTCCCCGATTCGTGCACAAAAATCGCACCTTGCTTATCCCTGACATCGATGACGACGAAGACGGTATTTTCTGGTGGTTTTGTTCTGACATTGTTTGCCAAAGGCTGCCAATCTGGGTCGCTGATATCATCACGGATGGTCTGGATATCACTCAATGTCTGATTAGCTTGTGTATAGAGGGGCGCTGAATACCATCTTACCTCCTTATTTGTTTTCAGATCCTTAACCTTGCAAACCATCAAGAGATTTTAGGCTTACACCCAAAAAGAAAGCTGACCTATAACACCGAGGCTCAAACTGAAAAAAAAGGGAAAAGAAAGACGCATCCGGATCGACTAGACGACGATTTTTGCATCTCAGTGTATCTTGAAAGTGAGGGACGTTCAATGGAAATATCTTGAAGACGGTAATGATCGTTGAAAGGGAGATCCTAATAAGGACTAACCACTAGTTATTTAAGGGCAGACTGCTTCTCCCGAAGATGCCAAGGAAGTATGACGGCCATAAACCCCCAGTGAAGACCATGTGATGTGGAAGCTTCTAGTAAAACCGACAACGAAAGAGAACAGGTTGGGCAGCAACACCTTGTGAGGTTAGATCGAGGTTTGATATTAATATGGACCCGCATGTGCGCAAGGTGGGGGGTGGTATCATGAGGGGTAATTTTGAGGCTAAGCCAAACTGTGGTCCAGCAGTTGCAGGGAGTGACATATTTCTGCTGATTTTCATTGATTTCAGCTGATTTCGATTGATTTCAGTGTTGTATTTTCAGTTGATGTCAAACGTTCTGTCATCTAGCATGGAACTACAGCTGAATATGCAGAGAGGGAGAACCATAATGGGAAGCACTCATCGGCGACGCAAAGACAAAGGCATTCGACATCTAAAAGTAAAGACTGAGGAGTAGAAGCACAGCAGTATGCTGTGTATAGCATTGAAATGAGATGATTACTCTGTCAGTAAGGTTAGAACTGAAGGGCAAGGTCATCATTCAAAAATTTATAGAATTGTAGAGAGGAAAACTTGACTGTATCTCAAAACACACCTTCTATGAGACATGGGTGCTACCATGCATGAAAGACTAGGTGATGGCTCACTCGTCGAGTATTCTTGCATGCGAAACCATACCCAAATTGGTCTAGAACCTTGTGTCGGTGGCACGGACCTACCTCTGGCAAGGCTTCGCTGCCTAGTGAAGCTACATCCTTTGATCTCGGGGATGTCATCTCAGTGAGACCTTTAATCCTGTAAAGGTAATATGTCAAGAATAGAAGTGCCATGTCCTTAATGGTGAACCAATGAATAGTCTGCAGCCTCCTTGGTGCTGAAACGTTATGGCGTCGTGATTATTCCAACCAGGTGCTAGCCAGGATCAATGGAAGCCGCGTTCAGCCCATCGACCATCCAGCAAAGGACATAAAAATACTCCGCTTTCTCTAAGTGGGTTCTTTCCAGCCCTCAACCCCATCCAACAGTGTTTTCAATGCTTTGTGTGATATTCCCTCATATCTTATCACCCTGAGCAAAACTTCGTGAGTCATTCCCAATACCATTTAATCTAAAGCACACACACGATGCTCATCGTCGAAGCAAGCACATTTCATAATCATGCCAACTCAAGGCGGTTTGATCAATACAACGCCCCTCGCGATTCAGTACGACCGAGCATTGCAAGACCCATATGAGGATTCTACAATTGGCCTTTGGAATCGTCTTCTCAACGCGTACTTTGACAACAATAGCTGGATTGTGACTCCTCAAAAGTGCCAGGAAACAAACACCAGGCCGGACTTTGTTATTGAAAGGTTCTGGGCAAATAATTCATTCATCGAAGTGATCATCATCAAAGCAAAGCCTCAACAGCAAACTATGAGGCAGGATCATCAGACAGATGAGCAGGTACTCAGTTACACCCTGAATGCCCTTCATTCAGGCCAGCAAAAAGGTCAAAGAAAGATATATGCTCTGCGGGTGGTTGGCGTGTACATCATGGCATATAAGGTGTCAATCAATCAACCGTCACTGACACCAATGGCATCGGATTACATGAACCCAAAGCAACATGTGGTGGCGATTTTACAAATCTTCAATACTATCAAAGCTGCTAATGTTTTAGTACCATGAATGCTCAGAGATAAGTGCTGCAGTTTTGTTCCTGGTGAATTTATTTTGTATTGAACAATTCATGTATCTAATCCTATAATAGCCAGATCAAATATATTGGGTGATTATAGACAGCAATCTTAATACAGTAAAAAAGCGCATTCGACGATAAAGCTGAGAAGAGAGAAAAAGGGAAGGAGGAATGAGCTCGTAGATTACGTAACCCAAACGCCAAGCAAGCTCTGTGGTTCTAGTCACGTGGTGAGATTGGCCAAAGGACATTTACAAAATAAAATCTTAGGCTCTTGCCAGAAGCGTAATCAACCACATGTGGGAAATTGAACACACAGTATTTTCGCTATTTTACTCCAGTGTCGTGCTCCAATAACACGGAGACAATACATGGTCTGTGGTGGAAATGGGGTACTGTCAACCTTGTCTTTTGTGTGGTAGAACCATTGACTCCACATGTTCTGCAGGAGTGGAAGCATGAAGGGCATCTTTTCAGGCTCTGCAATTCGAGGAAGATGTGATGAGCAGGCACTGCCTTGTCAAACTGTTGAAGGCTTACATACCAGCTGGAACTAAAGATGTTACCCATTCACTCTGTTGGTTGGTTGTGACAAAAGCTCTTGGAACGCGTGCAGTCAATTTTGAGTGGCTGCAGAGATTCTGCCATCTTCTCAGAGATATGAGACCATTTTTCACTCCGATACCTTTTCCAGAAAGTCCTGAAATTCCCAATAACGCGGAGGGCATCGGCAATGAACCCGTGAGTAAAACCTCCACCAATGGTAACAGCGGTGTTTTTGACAGATTCGCTCTTCCGCACGAGATCATCCAAGTTATCTACAGACATTTGAACAGCTATCAGGATGTGGTTAACTTGAAAAAAGCGGCACAGATTGGACCAGATGCCAGAAAATGGTTCGTACTCGGGTGAAAATATCTGGCTTATGGGTCGCCATTCCTTACAGGTTCAAATGAAGAGGTCTTGAGTAAAATAAAGGGAATCCTTTGGAATCTTCATAATCGCCCAAGCTGTTTCCCTAATATTGTTAACTATGACATGGTGTGGGAAAATGTTGAGATGATATTTTCAAAGATGGAACAGCAATTATTTGGGCTAGATACTGAAATAAACCTCACTGAGCGCCATGTCATCTGTTCCACACTAAGATCAGGCCAGTTAAGGAAAAAGGCCATCCATTTCAATGCTGTATCAAGGATAATGGTTAATTTCAGTGATGTTCTCGACTGACACTACATGTGTGGCTTCCAGTTCGATGATAATATCTCGGGCTATGACGGTGATTTGTCGATTACAATTCCTCTGAAAGGGTTCAGTGGCCTGCAACTAGTATCAGATGGTGAAGGCTTTACAGCCTTGCAGATAAAGAATATATCAGCTTGGGAACAGAATTGGTATGGCTCTGCTCCTGACTCAGACCATCTTATGTTTGCTCAGATGAAGTGGTCTATTAGCCATTCTGTTGAACTCGCCATCTCTGTTGATGTATATTCTCTTCCTATTATCATCCTTGATTGCATCGCTAAATCATTGTTAGGCATTTAAAGTACACGCGATTGCTTATACATCAGATCCACTTCAAAGTCAATCAGTTGCTTGGGATTCCAAATTGCTGTCTGAGTGTATGACATCAACTGTCCTAGTCAATCAACACCCACTCGATGGTGTATTACCCTTCAGCTTTGTTGATAAGCATCTTGGAGACGCGAAAGCTATAAGCGCGTTCATAGATGTGTGGACTCAATCTATTATGGGATTTGAGTTTACATTCGGAAGTAGTCTGGTCAATATCGGCCGCCCACATCTGTCGGCGATCAAGGTCTCTTTTCATGTCGACTTCCAAGTAGGAGAGGTTTTCACAGCGCTTGCCTGCGCAGAGGCAAATGTAAACTCTGGTGTAGCAATGAAGGTGAGATTTTCATTTTCTCCAATTGTTTAGCAATTCCTACTTATACTTTTAGTTCTTCACCAATTTTGGCAGGAGCGCTATTTTCGGAGATCCAACAGCGAAAAATTGGTGTGTTGCTGTGTTCTCAATGGGGGTGTTCTGTACATCTAGGATTAGCCCCTCTGTTTCTATAGTAAGTGTTTATTTCTCTCCCTTGCAATCTATTTTACTGAAACAATGAGGACAGGGTATAGGAATGGACTGCATATCAGTTCTCAGTGTTCTGCAGAGCGGGCCTCTCCAACAGCATGTGAATGTCAATACTTCACAACCAGCAATGTGGTATGAAACAGTTACCATCAAGTTCACTGGATCTTGTGAGCCAACTGTTGCTTTTCTTTCTATGGCGGACTTCACAGCAGTGTCAAGGATTACCATTTATATGGAATGTTTATCTGGGAATGGCTATCTCTGCGGGATCAAAATTTTCCATAGAGATAGTAGCCTGGATATATTAGGAGAAGCATGAGAGGAAGCTCAATCTTTTGCGGTCAATGATGAATTGACTTATGTCTCAATCTACTATGATGTCAACTTCGGAACATCCTACCGAGTTAAAGGTCTATGTTTTGGCTGCGCCTCTCATTTTATGGATGTGGGACGCTTAGAGGGGTGCATGAGTGAGTCTATTAAGCTATCAAAGAATCAGCGTGTCCTGTACTGGGTGTTTCATGCATCATTCTCATATCTGAACTCAACAATGTCTGGAATTAGCCTACCTGCATTTGACTAGGCCCTCTTGAGACCAAGCGGCTAATCTCACGATTGACTGGCATTCACCTTTTGAGGATTTTGGAGTGACAGGGCCCGCAGCTAAGATCCCAACACACCGACATGAGAATCAAAGCACCAATACCTAATATGGAAAAATCATCTCTGCTGCAATAATCTTTTATCTTTTTAGGTGGGTTGGTATCCATATATCGTAGATGTTCCTGGTGAATTTGTATGCCGTCCATCTCTCTTTGGATTACAAGATCAAATAACATTTCTTTCTAAATGATCGACAGCCACATGATCTGTTCTGTATGTGGCCAGAGTCAGAATTTCTGGTTTTATTCTCTCCTACCAAACTCTCCAATCAAATATTGAAATAACCGGGTGATGATGCCGCTTGTTTTTTCATTGAACGTGGCCCAGAACGACGACTGCACTCACCATGCATGTTTTCTTGCATATGCGACTGGAAGATAACTGACTGGACTAGTGACTATTTCTTCCAATTATAATGATATTCCGCTAGTAATCGTTAACCATCTGGGATTATTTGGGCAGTTCAGTATTTAACTCAGGGCTGAGTGGCGACCCAGGCGGAAGATTTTGATGGGTCAAAATGAGGAAGGATGTTTTTTGTGGCTTCGTCAATGTGGTGGTACTTCGGATGATTGGATTTTCCGGAGGGAAAAGCGATTGAGTCTTCTACCGGATTGGGATTGTTGTCTCAATCCCCACTTTTAGCTGATGTTCACGCCACCATGGTTGGCATTCGGACGCGCTAGTGAATAGTTACCCTAGGGAGCCAGTTGGAGATCCCCTTCTTAGGGGTATCGTCGAATCTTACTCCCTTGTCCATTGGTTTTATGTCTTCTGTCGTTCTCTTACCGGTTTTGTACTTGTATAGACAATAAAGCTTAGATTAGATTTACTTTCCAAAAAGAGCTTAGTGGTCATTTCAAATTCATTGTAATTTACAACAAACTGAATCTTTCATCTATTCTTGCTTCTGCTATTTAGGGTGATTCGTACCCTTTATATACCACCACGGCGTTGGTGGTGATTGAGCTCTTTTGCCCTAGTGGCCAATATGGTGTTGGGCGGGCTGCCACTCCACCGCACCGTGCACGTGATGACCCCTATTGGAGGAGGATAATGTGGGATGGTGGCCAGCGGCAGCTAATAAATATGGCATCTCTATGGGGTGCGCTAGTCCGTAATAGGCAGCATAGGGCCAACAATGTGTGTGCGTGGGTCACATTTATCTCAGTAAAACTCAGCCACTCCACTTCGAGCTAACTCAATCCGAACTACTGCCAAGTCCTGCTAACATCTGAGCCAATCAACTGTCAAGGGACTTACACTAAATCTAAATGGGACATCCTCAGCAAACTTATCTCGGTAAAACTCAGCCACTCCACTTCGAGCTAACTCAATCCGAACTACTGCCAAGTCCTGCTAACATCTGAGCCAATCAACTGTCAAGGGACTTACACTAAACCTAAATGGGACATCCTCAGCAAACTCTTCGCGGAGCGTCTGAGAAAAAACGGTTCCAGTTTGTTAGCAACACGGGAACGATTTGCTCCAACCATAATGTTTGAGATAGAATCACTGTACAACCTCACTTATAGATCATTTCTCTACCACCTTGGAGGGTTAATTTTCCAATTTCCTATCGATTGAACTAATTTTTATTCAAAAATACATATATTGTGAGTATGAAGTGTCGCGTTGAAAACTGCTACTCTGATTTTGAACACGGGAACGATTTGCTAATTTTTCAACCATGATCATGTCTAGTCACCCAACGCCTTGATCTTGCCATCAAAACATATATCCGGTCATCAGTAGCTCTAGCCAAAGCACCGAGTGTATTTTCTGATGACTTCTGACATCTTTTGGTGATGTCCAACAACTTCTGGCAACTTCTGTCAACTTCGCATAACTCTTGACCACCTCACACAGCACATCAACTTCTGACAACATCTGGGATCTTTCAACAACTTGTGGGATCTTTTGACAACTTCTGGACCAATCACATAACACCTTTTTTTGACAGCTGGGTCAGACAACTCTGTTGAATATGGCCAAGGGGGATCGAAGAAAACGCAAAAGTCAGCAACAACGGCGGCTTCAAAAGCTATCATTTAAAGCAAATACTTTCCATGAAAATTGAAGACATGCCACAAGTTGTTATGAGTTACGCTGAACCCGAAAGTATCGACAAGCAACAGGATGTTATTGAGCATTGTCTTCGACGAATCCTTCAAGGCCCGCGTCCAGATCCTAAATGCACTCTTCGGCCACACATAGAACAAGTCCGTATGCTCCGGCGCATGATATATGGATATGGCGACACTTTATTCATTGCCAGAACTGGCTATGGAAAGAGTCTTATTCTTCAATCCTATACAATTCTGACAGGGAAGATAACCATTCAACTGATTCCTCTAAACAAGCTTGGTGATCAGCAGACAGATGATATAGCTCAGTTTCCCTCTACCAATCCTTGTCTGATCAGTGCCAGCAATCTCCAGGGAGAAGAGCACTTACTCAAACGTATCCAACAGTGTGAATATACACATATCTTACTCAGTCCAGAGCAAGCGCTTTCCAAGCAGTTTCAGTGTATCCTTCAAGACCCTACTTTACAAGAAAAGATTGGGCTTGTAGCTATTGATGAGTGTCATCTTATCACTCAGTGGAGTGGATTCCGTGGTCAGTTTGCCAGGCTGGGGCATCTGAGATTGCTTTTGCGTGAGGACATTGTCTGGTTTGGCTGTTCTGCAACCCTCAGCAGTAAAGATGAAGATATTATTCTTCAAAATGCTGGATTTCGTTCTGTTGGTGATAATCCACGGCAGACTCAGATTATTCGAACCTCCATTAACCGTCCTGATATTTTTATTGGTATACATCCAATTCCACGTGGTAAATTAGCATCCTATGATATGCTATATTTCTTATTGAATGAGGCCGTTGATACAGATGGAAAGATCATACCTCAATCTATCTTAAAAACTATTGTTTTTATTGATAGTATTGTCAAAGTTCATCAAGCAGTGCAGTTTTTCCGATCAATGCTTCTTCAGCTCTGTCAGAATAACAGCCAAAATACTGATGATATTGACACCTCTTTCATCAATGACACCATCCAGCTTTTTCACTCTCGAGTGTCCGAAGTGGACAAGAATAATCGCTTCAAGGAGTTCATGGAACCAACATCGAAAATACGAATCATGGTGGCAACAACCTCACTGGGTATGGGTATAAATATTCCAGATGTCGAGCGTACTGTTGTATGGGGATTTCCTATCGAGGGAGGTGATATCGCGGATGTTTGGCAACGATGTGGACGAGGGGGTCGCAGACCAGGTCGAAAGAGTCATGCCTTGATTTTTCTTCCCTACTGGGCATTTGACTCCGAAGGTTATGAAAAGAAAGCTCTTCAACATTCTCAACCATTAGTGAAACAAAGATCTCAGCAAAGAACTTGATACCAGGCCAGTCAGCTATCACAGTTCATGAACTTCGAGGACATATCTGATGCTGAAAGTATTGCATCAAATATGACAAGTCAGAGTCAAAGTCAATGTAGGACAACAACTGTAAAGGCATGGACAGAGAGTGAAATGCAAAGACGAGCCAATCTCTCTGCTGACTGGAAGACAATTATCAATGGCCCATGCCACCGAAAAGGCCTTCTGACATATCTTGGTGAGGATCGACTTCCATTTGGCATGGATAGAATGGACACTTCTATGGAGGAATGCTGCAGCAGATGCAATTCTAGCCGCGTACCTGCATTCAAACAGCCACCCACTACAAACACTATCAAGGGACCTCGAGTCAATAGTCGCAGTGCTATTCTGTTGTCAGTACTTAAGAACTGGTGTACGCAACGTGCAGAGGAACAGTGTCATCATGATCGAGGCTTTCCGGTGCCAGCATCACGGTTTATGTCTACCCAGTGTCAGTGGCAGATAGCTGCTTTATTTCACAAGGAGACACCCACCTTTGGATCCAATTGGAATGAATTGTGTGATGCTGCCAATCTTCTTCAAACTTGGAGCTATCAAGATGAATTTGATGATCAGCTTCACAGCTTTCTGTTGAGTCAAATTGCAGTTGTAAACAACACATATGAAGCTGTTCGCATAGCAAGATATCAACGTCAGACAGTCAGAAACATGGAGAAAGCAGCAGAAATTGCAGTATCTACTGAGATATCAGGCAGTGATTCAGTCAGCGAAGAGACAGCAGCTCAGCAGCTCACAGCTGCATGGCGTGTGAAAGACAATAATCTGGCCCGAATGCTACTCAACAAGCAGCAAAAAGAGCTCAGCAATTTAATGAGATCTTCACTGAGACCTCTACTGCTCTTTTGACTGCTGTTGCTGCTGCTGAAGCCTCTGCTATTCTAGCCACAACTATTGCCAGTGCTTCCACTACTCCGCAGTCTACTCCTCCTCCAAGCCCACGAGTTTGCAAATCTACAACTGCTCAAGTTCACACTCCACGCAAGCGGCGAAGTAATAACAAGAGTATTGATATTCAAACCCCTCGCAAACGAACACCACTTGGTGAACGGAATGCAAATGCAGAGATTGTATTCACAAAGATATCTCGTTTTGGCCGTGTTCAAACTCCTTCTCGCAGAGGAAGAGACAACTTCTCTATAGAAAATGATAGTATCAAATAGTTAGACATCTTCTATAATAGATCTTCTGCAAATTCCTTACAACTTCTGAGAACTTCTGCTAACTTCTGAACCAATTGTAAATCATTGAGCAGTAGAAGTGAATAGAAATGTACTCACCTAGGTGTTATTAACCTGCTCAAGTGTTATTCACTCATATTATAAGTATAAATATGATCTTTATGCTTCTATTCCTCCATCTTTCTTTCAATCAGCATTCCTTACTATATGAACTACTGTCGCACTTGCCCCTTCATCCATCATCCATTCTTGAATACAACAAAAGTAAGTTATATCTTGATCATAGATGATGTATGAACCCATCTTTGACTAAACAGTTTAGTCAATACAATCATGTCTACCCACGAGCTCGAGTTCGCCGTCCTCAAAGCCCACTTTGACACACATTATGCAACCAAGCCTGAGGAGGTCTGCGCGGGCTGCCTCCGTGTTGCTGAATATGGACCCTTGCGTAAATGCATTGTTTCCGGTGTTAGAAAGTCGTGTGATAATTGTCATTTCCGTGGCATAAAGTGTTGCGCTGTATGTTCATTGTATGCCACTCCTAGAGAAAGTTTAGACACTAACTGATATCATTATAGATCCTCAAAGAGTCTCATTCCATCGTCGAATTTTATATCAGAAGATCATGCGAGGTGATGTGTCGGAAGCAGGGAGATAATGATGACTATCACAATGTCATGAAGGAGTTAAAGAGTACGCTGAGGGCAGCCAACGATTTGGTCAGGTTTTATAAGGGTGTTACAATGGAACCATTTGTTGAAGGAGGTCCCCGGGTTGTTGTCGGTGCAGATGATGGAGTTGACTTGCGTAATGCAAGCCGTTTTTTTGATGAGGAGTTGCCAATGGGTTTTCCTTTGTGCCCGGTGGATCTCGTTGATCGTAAGGTTGATGGAGGGATTATTGAGGAGTAGTCTTTGTTGTTGTTGTTGTTGTTGCCATTTTTGTTGCTGTTGCTATTTTTGTTGTTGCTTTTGCTTTTGTTTTTTTATTTTATTTTTTCTTTTTAATCTCTTCCTTTATTTTATTTAAATGATCAATTAGATATCATTCTTTCAATTCTGGTGTATGATCATCAAAGATTTTCTTCTAAGCTTAACAAGCTTCAAACAGCACTGTAAAGCAGTTGAAGTGTTGAAAGCAAATCTTGCCCTCGCTACTTGCTTGGATCTCAGTGTCCTAAAGGTATAAACTTCTCTGCAAGAGGCAAATATAGCTCATATAACTGACCTGAACTGCAATAGAAGATAACCTGTCGCAATCTCCCGGGAATTCTATATGTTTTTAGATCGACCCCCCCCCAAGTAAGGTCATACAATAAAATGCCTTTGAAACTGTCACCTTGGGATTCTGGGCTGGATCTGCGGATCTTTGATATTCTACCGGACAGAATATCAGCCAATGTGGAAGAGTTTCGGGTTGAAGCCTGGATGCATCTGGATCGGCGCATCCAGCTTCATGATATCACGGATCGTATGCATCCTGAATTTCGCATAGCAAAAAATGCACTCCAGCAGTGTGGAGTCAGGTTTCGCCAGGCATTCAGTATACTCTCCTGGGGATCAGGTAATAAACAAACTCAGGTTGTTGCGGAGCAGCTTGAGAAGGAAATGGAAGCTAGAGGCATCGACCTAGCTTTGAATTCCACTTGCAGTTTGATGCCAGGTTTGATCAACTTGGCTTTGGGTGAGGCAGGCGGGAGAATCACTGTTCCTGAGGCATACAGACAACAGAACCTCTGCGAACTTCTTCAAAGTTCAGTGAAGTTCTGAATCAACAGGATCTTCGAGGAAAATGGCACTGCGAGACGATGGAATCTTCGAGGAAAATGGCGCTGCGAGACGATGGAATCTTCAAGGAAAATGGCGCTGCGAGACGATGGGATCTTCGAGGAAAATGGCGCTGCGAGACAATGGGATTGTTTGTAAAGAGTAGTAATATTCATATCTTTGATCTTCTATTAACTTCACTGATCTTTTGTAAACATCTGTGAATTTCTTTGAAGTCGTGTGAACTTCTGAGCCTATCAAATTAGTCAATGAATGAGAAGACAAATTCACTATATTAAAGAAGAAATGAATAATACTATACTGACATCTTTGATTCTTTTCTTTCTTTCTTTCTCTTCTTCTTTTCTTCCTCTGAAATCAAAAATAATCAATATGGCGCCCCCCCCCCCTGCAACATTGGTGCGGATGCACCAACCCTGCTTTCCCATCAGCGAAAATGACATTCTTGCTGCTGCTGCAGCTATCCCGCGTGGACAACTCCGCTCTGGCGGAGTTCGTCGCCCCCTGTATGTCTATTCAGCATGAAAAGTATAATGAGAATGGAATGGAATACTAACACTGGCAATTAGCCCTCCCCCCCGTGCCCGTGCCCGTGCCCGCGCCCGCCCTCGCCCCTCCGCCCTCGCCCTCGCCCTCGCCCTCGCCCGTGAGGGTGGGGGGGAGGAAGTGCCTGAGACTCCCCCCCCTCCTTTGGAGGATGAAGAGGACGAGCTGGACTTGTCCAAGTAGGCGTGAAAAACTTCCTCTAAATGAGTGCAATAAGAAGCTAATGTTGTCGCATAGCAGCCCTTGCCCTCAGCCCCCGCCCTCTTCCTCCGGCTCCTTCTCTCCTCTGTTCTTTGCAGAGGAAGGGGTTCCATTGGAACCAATCAAGTAAGCAATATGAATTTGAATGAGATATATGATAGGGAAAGAATCGATCACTGACATGTTATATCAGCTTCCCCTCCCCGTCCCCGGCGCCGATGACACCCCCCCCCCTGGCCCCC